CAGACGTGTGCTCTTCCGATCTCCCCAAAACCCCAAAACCCCTTCAAGCTAAATAGAAAAATAATTTCTTATTAAATTAAGAGTTTATAAATAATCAATTAAGATATCTTAAATTTTGTAATTATACTTTGACTTTGTTCTTATGCATCAAATCAGTTGAAATTTGTACTGCTTCTGAATGCTCCTCCACCAGAAGAGAGACTCTGATATCTAAGGGTATTCATCTCTTGACTCAGTCTTTGATTGTAGTGCTGAGCCATCTCCCTCAGAAAATCTTCTCGTTCCCTTTGTTCATCCAGCCACTTTTTGTTTTTCTAGAATATGTTTTCCAATTCATCAAACAAAGATTTATCCCCACCACCTCCGGTCTGATCTTATCTCATTGGAGTTTCTCCCTTGTAGCGAATTTAAGTCAGATCCTGATCTCCAATGATGTTTGTGTAATTATTGCCTGCATTTACTGTGGTATGAGGCATTATATTAAAAAAGCTTTTGCTTTCATTCATGCTGAAAATATTGTTAGGGTTATGCTATCTGTTTGAAACCTAAGGACTATGCGTTTGCAGAGGTAAATCATAGTATTAAGATAGATTATGCGAGGGTGAAGAGTAGTTTTTGTTTGAGCTTTCATAAATAAATCTGTCGCGACTGGGCTTCTAATGACTGGGAGTATTTTCATACCTAGCATAAGATCTCCAGGCAAGGAAAGATCTTAGCATTTTGAACCTTCTTTTGAAGTCCAAGAATCGCTTTAGAACTAGACTCTTAGTCATTTTATGCTCAATATGCATCCTCCAGGAAGTAAAAACTCTATGCTTACTAATCTATCCTTCTTCCTTGTAACTTATGCCCTTACTCTCATAGTATTGTCTTCTTCTGAGATCACGTCGTCTTATTATTTTCAGATAGAAGTCTTTCGCAACTTTATTCATCAATTACTCTCTATTATTCTCAGACCATCTTTATCTTAATCCTCCAAACGCTTTGCCCATCAAAGTGTGTCTCCTGAAGTCATTTATAGTCTGATCAATAATCCTAGATTTCTTTTCAATCAAGATATTTTCTAGGAATTTTAAGAAAACTACCTTCTTTACTCTCATTTGCCTATCTCTGATCAGGTTCTTTTGTATGATGTAAGATCGTTCTTAAGCCCATTTCTAGCGAATTTGGTATCTTATTACTTAGAAAAAGGTTTATTATAGCTTTTATGCTCTATAATGAGAGGGAAGTTCATGATTTTTGCGATAGTTGATAATTTACCAGGCTTTAAATACTCTCTTTTTCATGAATAGTTTTGCCAGCTTGCCCTCAACTTGATTTTGCCTTAGTTTATTAAACACTTCTGCCTTCAGATAGTTTTATCTATAATCTAAAAAGCTACTCTCAGTTAGCTTCTGATTTTAGGTAGCGTTCTTTATTGTTTAGAATATAGGGTATAGACGATATCTCCAGACTACCTATTGGATTTAAAACAATCCCTTTACGTATCTGATATTCTTTTTGAAAGCCATAAAAGACTTTAAGATAAGATTTTATCTATAATGAGTGAGAGCAGTGTAATGCTATATCAGTCTTTTCTTATCATCTACTCTTTCCTTCCACTATCCGATTGTCTCTCTTTTCAATTCAAATTCCCTCTGATACTTGAATCTTTCATTAAGTTTGATTTTATCAGCAATCTTCAAAAGTACTCTCCTAAGTGATTGGATCTTAGCATACTGAGGTTTCCATCCTTTGAGGAAAAACTTTTTGTAAATCAATTTCTTCTGGAATCTTTTAACTCTCAGAGTCTTGAGGTAATGCTGATACAAAGATAAGAGACTCTTAGACATCAAAGCTTGCTTATAGTATTATTGTGATCTTAGTATTTTCATCAAATTTTGACCTTAGCTGTCCAAGTACCTGATCCATTGCTTGAATATAGTCCTTAGTTTAAATTCTCTAAGAGTCTGCTTTTACGTTTTTACAGCCTGCTTGTTCCAATCTGCCCATTTCTAGAAAATCTTGTAGTGTTTCTAAACCTAAATAGTTCGATGGAAATCTTTTATTTTAAGCTTGCGAGCCTTAATTACTCTACTCCACTCAATGAATGCTTGTTTAGAGATGTTAAGGATATGCAAAGATTGCAAATCATCATCAAGTTATTTTTATACAAAGCGAGTTTTCCATTAAGAGAGCAGGACTGAAATAGCTTTTGTTTTAAACATACTAATGAAGACCATTCTATATTGATCACAGGATATACCGTATTGAATGTAATCAGTAAGTCCACTGAACTAATCTATGTCATCTTGAATTACATTTTAAGCATTAACAATAAGACTTTGCTTAAAGTGATGGTTATAGCCTAGGTTTTATAGTGAGCCTAGCTTATACTACAAAGTTTTGATATGCTCTCTTAGCTAAAGTATCAAAGGAAGGATCGTCTATTACTTGTAATGATTATTTTATGTTGAAGTATGCAAATCTTTCGAGTTAATAGTATTCAATTAATCCTAAAGTTTTTTAAATATTTGATTAGGCGCATACCTGTTCTCATCATTCTACTAAAGCTGTTACTATTCTATTTCTATTAGTCTTTTAGGAGGGGGAGGTAGAAACTACTTTTACTATTTAATTGGCTTTTATGCAGAACTTAGATTGCCTTTGATAAAGGAGTTTTACTATTCTAAAATTATTGTGCTTTGATTTTTTGTTTAGTTGTTTTAATGATACACCAAAGCAGAATGAATGGAATACTTAAGGTCTATATCTATTTCTCCAGGTCTCCTAGTCTGGCTATGAGATTTAGTCTATTAGGACTAATCTACTTCCTATTAATGGTGACTAAAGCTCGTCATTATTATAGATGAACTTAGATTCCTTACAAGCCCATTACTATTAATGCTAGCTCCCTTTTTCACAGGAGTCTTGTTTCTTAACTCAGGGTAATCTTGATAAATCTTAGCTACATTACTTCTATAAGCATTTGTGAAATCGTTTTTCTTGAACTGCCCATAACTGTCTGAATCACCCTCTAATCTTAAGGGAAAGACAGTATTTAGCTCCTAGATGCTGAGCTTGAATTTAAGTCCATTTATGAATGTTTTATTGTGTTCTCGCTCGAGAAGATATTCTGAAATTCTAACATTGAATAATGATTAGGTTTTATTCATTTAGCTTTAGAACCACTCTTCGTCATTAACCTGCTCTCTGTAAGAATTTGACTTGGTCTTGGCTCCAGGTGAGACCATAAGTAGAGCCTTACGCTTAATTTTACTAGAGGATCTATTGTGGTATATCCATCTTAGGAATAATTACTGATGATATTTAAGTTTAAGTCTGTCTTAAGCAATAGAAAAGCCTAGCTGCACATTTCGCTCCTAAATTATCGTAATTTTCCAAGATTAAAGTATTCTCACTATTTTCCTTGAGACCAAGAGCGATCGAGATTTTATTTGTCTCTATCTTGAAAGAAACTTATAGTGCTTGATATTTTTCCAAGCATTATAAAGTTATCCAAGTTTAACTTTTCCTACTTATTCTCTAACTATATACATGTACTCATTCTTTTGAGATCTCTTTTGCTGATATTTTTTTAGTAAATTAAAACTGGTACTCAAGTAATCTCTCATAATGAATTCCTAATAATAAGCAGAAAATTAAGCATTAATTTCGATTTTCAATTATCTATTTAGTCTAAGAATAGCAATAACTAATTTTTATTGTAACCTGCTGATAATGTCTCTAAGAAGTTCAATCTTGATCTATTAATTATTTTAATTATGATTGGATCTTAGTGACTTCCTTAATTCCTATATTTTACTTTATCTACGATCTCTAAGCTCAGCAATAGCTATAATTTCAGTTTTAAATTTCTCCATGTATAAATGAACAAGGCTAGTTCTTAAAAATCTTATCTTCATACTTGCCAAAGGTTAAATATTTAAAAATGACACACCCCTGTTTGTCTATGATAGAACTTATAGCATTTAATTTCTTATATGACTAATTTAAACTTAGCTTGACTCAAACTTGGCTATAACTTAATTTATTGGCTTATCCAAGGCCTCCCATACTGTTTTGAATAAAAATATCTTGGTCTCTTTAGTTACCTCTCTATCTTATATGTTTTCTTAAATATTCAAAAATGGTTAATCAAATTATGGTGTATTATAACCTTAAATAGCATGTATTGATATAGTTTGGCTTAGAGTTTTATTTTCAACCCTTGATAGCTATCTTTCACTATGTATTTTGGGGGAAAACATATGATTCTACTAAGATAAAGTTTGATGTTATTATTACTAAGTAGAAATATTCAAATCTTAGTTTTAAGTTTTTACAATCTGACCTGCTAGGATGCTTTTATTTGCAATAAGTGAACTATTTTCTTTATTGACTCCTAGAAAGAGCGCATCAGCAGGACTAGTACTTCTTTTTCGCATTATAGTTCCAGGCATTTACGATTATTTACTGAGGTTATTGCTTATATCATTGCGATTCTTTGATAAATCATTGCGTTTAACTATACATCCAGCAAGTTAAGAGGAATTCATTATGACACTATTATTATTGGCATCATGATTCAAGCCTTATACAAAATCTTTCTGCGCACTGTGACTGTTAAAATTCTTGAAGGTATCAAAGTTTTACTGCTACTGCATATTCTTTTTGTTACTGTACTCCTAATAGTTTAGAATTTCAACTTGTGGTTTATTAGTAGGTTTAGGAGGTGTCTTATGCATTTTTTCGGGGGTTCTATCCATCTTTGAACTTCCTGTAATCATTTAATTATTTCTGTTTGAGAAATCAGGAACTTAGCTTAAATCATCATCTGCATTAGCTAATTAAACTAAATCGCCTATTTTCTTCTTTCTGCTCTCATCAGCATTTCTTTTGTACTTCAATGCTAATTTTCTAGACTTAAAAGATATAGTTTTGCGTTGCTGTGATGTACTTCTGTCATCCTAAACTTTCCTTTACTTAGGCGATTTGCTTTTACTTATTCCACTTTGCTTTGTTGGGGAGATAGTCTATCTTTATTATGCAGGCGGTTTTTATTGTCTCTCCATTTTATTCTGTTTTTGAATCTACTCCCCTCTTGAAGCTACTGACTCTAAGTCAATGTTACTCTCCTCGATCAGATTTTTCAAGCCATCTTTAATAGTGAATCTCACTTGTTTATTTCCGATTCCTCCTATATTATTCCCCTATCCATGTGATAAAGATCTTTATTGCTGTGTATGATTAAACTAGTTTGCTTAATAGTTACTTCTCCCTCTTTCAATGCTTTATTCATCCATTTACTGAGATGAATTTTCATAACTCTAAATGTTAAGCAGCTGATCATGCAAGGAGTTAGAATTATCATTGAGTAAGGTCGAGGGCTATTGGATTGAATTAAAATTAGCAGTATTTTAAGCTGATTAATTTGAGTTCAAATAGGTATTTGAAAGGAAATGCTAAAGGTTTTGGCCTACTCCTGATAGTGGCATGTCTTGATTAGAGGCTTTATGGGATCGTTAAGGCTCCATTACTAATTAGTCTTCGAAGAGATTCTCCTCTTAACTGATATACACGTTAGGCTAATTATGGTAGCCTTTCATCTATTCAGTGTATGCATAATTATTCATATTTGAATTTTAAATTATTAGTAATTTATCAAACAATAATACTTAAACTAATTAGAGAAAAATAATTCAAAGCAAAGTTGATATTAATATCTAATCTCCTTGTAAAATCCTTAATCAAACTAGTTGCTAATAATAAATCAAAATCTTGTTCATTTACTATGTCAAGCAAAAAGATTATAACAATCCATAAATCCAGTTCCATTGATACATTAATTGATATTTGCCCTCAACTAATGGGGTATATAAGAGAATAAGCAAGTAAAACAGATGCTCTGGTGACCTGAACTGGTGTTTGGTCAGGACTTCAAATCCTGGGGTGTCGAGAGGCACAGGCGTTCGATTCGCCCTCTGGAGCGCATTTTTTATTCCCCAGATAATCAATCAGGAATATATTTTGGAATAGTCTATTTAAAGATGTTTTTTAGAAGTAATATCTTGATCTTCTCATTTTGTTACTATTTTTCATCATGGGGTTTTGGGGTTTTGGGGTTTTGGGGTTTTGGGG